TGTTTAAGTTGGTCTTATTTGTGTCTTATGTTCTTAGTTATTGGGCCTAAACCTGTTTAATGTTTTAATTGTTTATTTGTCTAGGTGTCCCATCAGGGGCATTCTAGTCCGTTCATGTAATATTTTTTTATAATCATCTATATAAACTTGTTAGGTCGGCTGAAGAGTTTAAGCTGCCTCTCTCAGATCTTCTTCTTCTTCCTCTCCCTCTTCTTCGACTGCTGTAATCCAGCAAACAAGGTATCAGAGCCAGGTTCGTTTGTTTGATTACAGCTGTCACCTTTTGGCCCTTCTCCGTTTTTTTCTTTCTTTTCCTTTCTCTCTTCTGTCTTGATCGCTGGGAAGAAACCCTAGGGCTGACCGTAGAGCACAGCAAGGTCNAGTCACCCATTCAGTCGACCCCCTTATGTTTATTAGGTTCTAATTACACTTACAAGGACTAAACTGCCCTCACTTAAGTGTGGGGCAGAGTACTCTAATAAAACAGCCACATAAGCAAAGTACTTAACTGACATGAGATTACTAAACTACCCCTATTCGGCTCACTCTAACAATACTCCTTAGCATTGTCAGACCGTATTATCTTGATGTGCCTTTCAAATTGTGTTTCCACCATCTTGAAGAAGTTTTGAACAATGGAAGGGACCTCATCTCTACTCCTCATTAGGTAAAGCCAAGTATATCTAGAGTAATCATCAATGAACAATATAAAATATTTATAGCCACCCATACATGGAATAGAGTATGGGCCCCAAACATCAGTGTGTATCAAGTTGAAAGCAACATCACTCCTTCTATTACTTGCAGGATATATAGTTCTACATTGTTTTGAGAGATGACAAACTTCACATTGCATACCCAAACTAGACTTAGGCTAACATAAGTTTGGAAACAAAAATTTAATGGACTTAAAAGACACATGACTGCGGCAACAATGCCACAACTTCAAAAAACTCAAATTTTCATCATGACATGACTCAATCTGGCACAATAATCCTTGCTCAGAGGTTTGATCAAAAAGGTAAACTCCATCAGCTTCGTGTCCAGTTCCAATCGTCCTCCCTATTCTCAGGTCCGGAAAAACACAATGAGAAGGGAAAAAAGTCACTGAACAGTTATGGGATTTGGTAAGAGTGCTAACAGATAAAAGATTCTTGTACAAGTGGGGGACATGAAGGACGGAGCTTAGGGAAAGATCATGAGTAAGCTTAACCTCCCCAAGACCAGAGATAGGGGTCTGAGATCCATCAGCTACAGTGATTTTCCCTTCCCCTAGAGCCAACTTATAAGAGGTGAAGTGGGAAGACATACCAGTCATATGTGCACTAGCTCCAGAGTCCACAATCCAGGAGCTAGTAGGAGAAGATTGACAAGTGCAGTACCTGATTTTGCAAAAGCATTGGAATGATTGCTAGAACTAGTAGAGGCAGAGAGCCCAGACTTCTCAAGCTGAGTCAACAAAATCCTAAGCTCCTCCATCACATCAGAGGAATCATGTGTGGGAGCCTGTACATTAGGAAGGCAATCAGCTCCAACAATAGCAAGATGAGCATTACCCTTCTTCGCAATTTTAAATTTGTCAGGCTTCAAATGTGGATTCAATTTCCAACACCTATCCTTTGTATGTCTCGGACTCTTGTAGTAATCACATACCACATCTTCATGCTTTTCATTAGTACCCTATTTGTTTGTACTCAACTTGGACCTTGAAGACATGTAAGTAGAATAATTCATCACTGAGGTATGCATCATAGCAACTCTTCTACTCTCCTCTCCCTGCACCAAGGAGTATGCAGTAGCAAGGGAAACATTATCTGCACTCAAGATGTGTTGTCGAGTAAAATCATACTCACCATTCAATCCAGCCAAGAAGTCAAACACTCGATTCTTCTCAACATACTTCCGATACTGTTCACCGTCCTTAGGGTTCTTCTATTGCAAATTCTCCAAATGATCCATTTCTTCCCATAGAGACTACAAAGAAGAGAAGTACATGGCTACAGTCCTCTCCCCCTAACGTATATTATAGGCTTCTCTTCGGAGTTGATAGACTCGGGCTGTATTTTTTGTACGTGGCTGTAACACGATCCCAAATATCCTTGGCAATGGAGAAGAACATATAATTGCGGGCAATATGTGGCTGCATTGAACACACCAGCCATGACATAACCAAGGAATTATCCTGTTCCCATCTAGCAAGTTTAGGGTCATCAGCTTTTGGCTTCTCCTCCCTATCAGTAATAAATCCCAGCTTACCCCTACCTCCGATAGTAAGCTTGGCTGATTGAGACCACTCTAGGAAGTTGGTTCCATCAAGTTTTACAGTGGTTATCATACCACTGGAGACATCGACATTACCCGGTAGTACTTCGGAAGCAGTTTGTAACTCCTTAGGCACATCCATTTGAGTTGGGTAGGCCTTTTAACAGTTCTACAGCACTACAACCACCAACTGACACGCACAAGACCCACAAAAGATGGGAAACACTCGGCTGGAATCCAATGGGAGGCCCAAAACTGAACTGGCGGCAATATAGGGAAGAAAAACCAAAACCAACAAGTTTCAAGCATGCATTGAACTCAGACAAGGAAGAAAAAAATCCAAAATTGAAACAATATTTTTCTGTAATTTTTTATTGTAAAAAATTCTACATCTTTATGGGCTTTTTGTTTTTGTTTGGACCATAAATCCATCTCTCTCTTTAAATTTTTGCTTTTAATAAAATTTTCCTATATTATAAAAAATTAGGAAATGGAGAATTGTTTTCCTGTTTCCTGTTGTCAGTTTCTGTATCCAGGCATGATGGATCCTAGTATCTTCGTGATGGCATTTTATATTTTATATAGAGAATGTCTGGAATATTTTATAAGAAAGCATTTAATGATGAAAATATGAGATCCTTTCTTTTCCTTACTCATCACAAAGAAAAGTGCCACAAAACCCAAAGGATTTTATGCCTATAAGTCTTGTTAGCAGTACTCTTTCTCTCTCTCTCTCTTGATATTGTTAGCAGTACTTTATCTCATCCAAGGTGCTCTTATGAGACTTAGGAAAAGCAAGATTTCAGGTGGTTTACTCGTACATGGTTCAAAAGTATCAATATGTATCATACCATATCGTACAATACATGACAGTTTTCAGGGTCCCTGAAATGTTAAAAACAAGCATTTAAGGGGTTTCAGTAGTTTTAAATGTTAGAACCCCTCTTAATACATCTGTCCTTCAATTATTGAACTGAAGATATATAAAAAAAATGTACTTTCATGTTCTAACATGCTCAATACTCAGGTTTTGAGTATCAAGTGTGTCAACATGGTTGTCTACTAATCTTGCATATGAACATGAGGTATTTGACATGTATTTAAACACGCAATATGATAGAAGTTACATATAAAGGTATGAATTATAGAATAGTGTCATATATTTCTATAGAAATTATTGAAAAAAGGCAAACATTATCAATCTAAACAAAGATGAAATCAGGCTGTCCTGTTATTTCATGTTAATATATAATGTTCTGGTATTGTCTCTGACACTTGCATCCAGAAAGTTAAGTTTTAGATCTAGAAAATGTTTGTCCTTCAGGATGGCATTATCTCCATATTTATCCGAACTGCAAGTTATTCCTTAATCAAAGATAAAAATTCCATGCCACTATTCCATAACACTGATGGGAGTTCATCTCTTGGAATCAAGGTTGGGGTTTGGCCAGCTTCCTGGAAGTGCTCTGAGGAGTATTTTTCACATCAAGTGAAAAGTAGAGATCCTCTTAAACTAGGGTTAGCTTCTCATACCATTTTCTGTATTACTTCAATTTCTCAGTTCGTTTCTTTTCTTATGTTTCCTCTCAAAATGATTGCCTCTGCCAATTAAGTTAGTATTTTTTTTGTCAATGTTTGGAAGGTTTCCAAATGTCTGGGCTTTGCGTTTAGTGCGACAGCTGTTAGTATGGGAGCCTGTAAGTATTGAGATTTCCCAGTTTCTTTCTTTAAGCATAAATGGAGCATGTTTTTACTTAAATTTTGATATTTTAACAATAGTTGGCAAAATAAAAGAAGTTCCACTGCTGACATTGCTTGTTTGATGGAATAGAGAATTGAGGAGTATGAAGTAGATGGTGTTGTTCATAGAGAATAGTTTTATTCATTATATATTGTTACTTGTTACACTAATTGGAGTATTTCTGTGCTTTTCAACCATTATATAAAAAAGTATATAATCAACAGAATAGGCGCAGTTCATACTTGTTCCTCTTCTTTCTTCTATGTTTCTTTATTTCTTTTTTCTCTCTCCACTTCTTCTCTAGACAGTTCACACCACTAATCAAAGCAGATATGCATGAATATTTTTCTTGGTACCAGAGCAGGAAAAATCTCAGTGATCAATTGCAGAGAGTTACCCTTCTGACATAATCAGCCAGAATAGTGATGTCAGCATTTGAATAGATGGCCAATGAAAGATAAGAAGGAAAACCCTAGATTCTGAACAAGGGATTATGTGAGATCTCTTGAAAATATGGTTGTCATAGATTACATGAGATCTCTTGATTAGATGAGACTTCTTGACTGATATTGTAAAATCAATGATGCCGCTGGTTTTTTCTAAGAGATTTGTTGTGATGTCATAATTTTTCTGATGCTTCTAGAATTTCTGATGCATTTTTTGGACTTATATTCTAGTGTGATTCTTTAGAAGTTCATATTTTTTATGTGTCACATTGGTATTTTTATGCAAGTGACCAGAATTGGAGTCTCATAAATCACATTTTTTTTCATAAATCATATTTGGTCAGTATAGATATTAAAGAAAAAAATAAACAAAAATGATGTAATAGATCAATGGTAACATGTTACTCTATACAAAGGAGATCTAACAAGTTCAAATCTCACCATTGTCATTTTACAAGTGATAAAACAGTGACCTGGGCAGGTTGTTGAAAACCAGTTAGGTTGCTGAAACCGGGACAGTTTTTAACAATTCTCATTGGTTGCAACAGATTAGCTTTTTCTTCAGAAACCTAAAAACCTGTGGTCTAATAAATCAGAATGTCAACCATTTCCCAGTTCTGACGGTTGAATTGTCTGGTCCATTCCAAGTCTGAAAACATTGATTCATGAGAATTTTAAGTTACTATTAATAATCATGGTTGTAATGGGTTAGCTTAAAACCAGTGATCTAAAAAATCAGAATGGAAATCAGTTTCTGGTTCTGACTTAAAATGTCTGGTCTGATCCAAGTCTGAAAACATTAGTTTCATCTTCAATTACTGCAATGAATTTGACAATGTTAAATTAGTTTCTTAAAATTTCCAGATTACATGTTCTTTTTCTTTGTACTTTACTCTTTATCAGGAAGCTGTCAATCCATAGCTGATTTATATACTGAGAATGTAATGTTTCAATTATTAATTTTTTATCTGGTTTCATGCATGGTTGTGCTTCCAAATTGCTCATATTTCTTCTATTTATTTATTACTAATTAGTATTTTTTCAATTATCTGAACTCTGCATGTTTAATTTATTGTTTTGCAATCCTTCTATCTGATATTTTCATTCCTAATCTTTACTCATTCTATGCTTTTCCTGAAGGAGAAATCTTTCAGATTCTGTTTATATATGACAAAACAGCCATATATATAGTGTCCAAACTATTGGTTTTATTTTTTATTACAAATGTGCAGTTGGAATGTTTACATTTATGTTTTTATTCTGCTTAGTTAGGGTCAGTTTGGTCTGTTTAAAATAGCTTTTTTATCACTGTTCTTGTACTTTCACTACAGCAGGGGCATAAAGGTCTTTTCCCTTTTAATTATGGTCACCCTATATATAATAATATAAGCTGGCACCGCCAGACAGATTTTAACTCTCCAAACACTTGCACTTTTCTTCTCCCTTCTCTCTCTCTCTCTCTTCTCTTCTTCCCTATTTCTCTTTTTTTTCTCTGCTAATATGGTATTAGAGCGGTTCTACTGGGTTTGAGAGCAGATCGAACAAGTTCTTTCTTCTTTATCTTTCTGTCTTCTCCAGACTGAGATCAAAGAAGTTGACCTACAACTGGTACAAGTTTTATTTTACCTTTTTTTTCCTTTCTCTTGGTCGTAGAAAAACCCTATGAAACAAGACTGCTGAATGCTGTCAGAGGGATTGTGATCCTGTACCTGAGAATGGGATACCTGTAGATCACGAATGACCTGTTTTTACCCTGTTTTGGTGTGACTACACTGTTTTATGATCTCTCCTGGTAGTTGGTGTGTTTAGATGATCTGGAAAATTGGACTGTGACTGTTAAACTTGTGGAGTGCTGAAATCAACCTAAAAAAAAATTTGTTTTGGAGAATTGGAGCTGGTCTGTGTTCAGATTGTGTCCAGATCAGAGTGTGTGCATGTCGACTGCATCTCTGGTGTGTTTCTAGGACTTTTTATGGGTGTCAAAGGGGTCTTAAGGTGTGTGTTGAAACTGAATAGTGTTTTGAATCATGTCCTCTGAGAATTCTGCAACTTTTGGGTTTTCAGGAGGTCAAAATATAATGAGTGGGGGGGGATGGATATGAGTTTCCCCATGGTTGTAATTCCCTTTGGTGGACTAAACTACCGGTGTAGGGGAATTAAATTCTACATTAATGCCAGGGGGAAAATAGGGTACATTAATGGTAAAGTGAAGGAACCAAAGACTGGAAGTGCTGAACATGATAGGTAGGACCAAGAAAATAGTATGGTGATGTTGTGGCTCTTGGTTTCCATGCTGCCACAAATAAGGAAGATATTTATGTGGGATGAAACAGCTTGTGAAATATGGGAACAACCGAAATCTACCAATTGCAAGCTGAATCCTCCACTTGCAAGTAGAGAAGTCTCTCAGTGTACTACTCAAATTTGACATCAATCTGGAAGGAACTGGATCATTAACAAAATGTGAATTGGAACTGTGATGAAGATGCAAAGGCCTACAAGTCACTTGTTTCCCAATAACGAGTATTTGCTTTTCTTTTGGGGTTGAATCCTACATATGAGTCTATTAGGGTACAAATCTTGGGAAGTGTCAGAGTCAGTTGTAGAAGGGTAGTATAGACCTTTTATATTAAGTTATATGTTTAGTGTTTAGCTGATGTGGCTCTCACTTAAGTGAAGGCATAATAGTAATTTATGTTTATTTAGAAAAGTATAAATAAAGACTGGCTGACTAGAGAAGACAGGTTTTTCTCTCTAGTTTGACTGGAACTATTCTTTCTCTCCTCCTCCTTCGTCTCCTTCTTCTCCTTCTTCTTATCTGAAACCATACGGACACTGTATCTGAATTTTATCATGGCATCAGAGCCATGATAATTAGTTCAGGTCAGCCTCCTTCCTTTTTCTCTATTCTGCGCATTCTCTCCTAGGGTTTTGCAGAATTCTCACTGATAGCTAGGAGTTTCTCAGAAAGAAAAAAAAAAGGACTGGTCGTTTTCTCCTTCTGGGGGTTTTCATGCCTCCAATGAGTGTTGTTGTGGTTGATAGAAAACCCTCTACTTGGCAGTTCGAAGAGGGCTGGTTTCGTGATGGTAACAGTGCAGGTTTGGTACCCTCTACTTGGCAGGTACATGATATCTGAATCGAATTGTGTTGTGTAGCAGAAAAGTTTTTTTTTTTTTATATGTTGCAGAACTGAATGTCCTATTCATGAGATGTATTGTGAGGGTTTATTGTGCTGACAGTGGACGGCAGCAGTGGTGTTGTTGCTAACAGTGGTGAAGAGTTGTGAGTGTTGTTGCTGAAACCTATGATACTAGGAACCCTAGTAGTATTCAGTTGTTAGTGTGTAGTGTGGTGACTAATTAGTGCAGTAGAGTGAAAACTTAGTGGTAGAATTTCTCCCTTTTTTTCCTTGTGCAATCATGGGAGACAGGAGTGAATGCAAATCAAGTGTGATGGTCCCTTCTGATTATTTGAATGTGCAGATGACCTCTATAAAACTGAATGGTGAGAATTATGTTCCTTGGGCTAAATCTATTGAAGTTTTTCTGAAAGGCAAAAAGAAAGTGAAGCATGTGAGGGAAGATAAACCCCCAATTGATTCTCCGGGATATGATGAGTAGGAGCAAGAGGATGCTCAAATTATGACATGGCTATGGAACAGCATGGAATCCAAAATCAGTGTGAACTTCATGTTTTTAGATACAGCCAAGGAGGTATGCTATCATGCAAGGAAGCTTTATTCTGGACAAGATAACACTACTAGGGCTTACCAACTATACCAAGAGTATTTCAATTTGCAACAAGGGAATCAGAGTCTTGAAGACTATAATGCAAGTATGAGAAATCTGCGAAATGAGTTGAATGTGTAATCCCTCTTACACCCAATGTCAAAATTCAACAACAACAAAGAGAGCAGTTGGATGTGACCAGATTTTTAGTAGGGCTGAAGTCTGAATACGAACCAGTAAGGGCACAGATACTAGGTGGATCTGTTCTTCCCTCTCTTGAGGAAGTGTTTGCTCATCTTCGGAGGATCTCAGTTGGACCCACAGAGAATTCCACTATATCAAATAGGTCTGCATTTGCAGTTACGAGAGGGGGAGGTCATGGTGGTAGAGGAGGTTAACCTGGTCGTGGTAGTGGTGGTGGACCCATGTATGGTCGTGGTGGTGGTTGTGTTGGAGGAAAGGTTTAAAATTTCGATACGATATGCCCGATACGAGGCGTATCGTATCGTATCTTTCAAAAACATTTATGGGATACGCATGAAAATCGAACGTTTTGTCTTTTTTTCAGGTGTATCAAGGGTGTATTGGAGCGTAAGTAGCGTATCGACGAAAAAGATACAACCAAAAACGGAAAAAAAAAATAAAGGGGAAAAGCAAGCTTCTTTTCCCTGAAATAAGCCTTCTTTCACCCCCAAATGACTCTAAAACTCCAAACCTCATTCCTAGAGTGCTAGATTTGCAAAAAATTGCAAGAAACAAGTGTGAATCGTTAATTTTTT